GAATTCACCAAACAGTAAAGAGTGGATTGATGCCATGAGGGATGAGATAGACTCAATGACGAGAAATAAGATTTGGGAACTAGTTGATCTCCCACCTCGACATAAATTAGTTAAAAACAAGTGGATTTTTAAGATAAAACATAGAACAGATAAATCAATTGAAAAGTTTAAGGCCCAACTAGTGGCGAAAGGTTTTACCCAAATTGAGAGTATAGACTATGAAGAGACTTTTTCTCCCGTGGTGAGATTTACCTCTATTCGCCTCCTTCTAGCCCTGGTTGCCCATTTAGACATGAAGTTATTTTAAATTGATATTAAAACTGCTTTCCTTAATGATACACTTGAGGAAGAAATATATATGGATATACTTATTGGGTTTGTCTCAAAAGGTCAAGAAAATAAAGTTTGTCGTCTTAAAAGATCCATATATAGTCTCAAACAGTCTTCCAGACAATAGTATTCCAAATTCCATGAAGTCACTACTTCGTTTTGCTTGAGATGAAGACCACTGTGTGTATGTCAAGAAAACCATATGAGGCATTATGTTTATCTCTTTATACGTTAATGACATACTATTAGCTGTAAATAACATGGAGATGATCAATGCCACTAACTAGTGGTTGTCCTCCATTTTGAAGATAAAGGACATGGGTGAAGCCAGGTTTATCCTTGGCATGGAAATGATGAGAGACCATCCCAAGATGTTTCTAGGACTGTACCAATAAACATATATTAAAGAAGTCTTGGAACGATTTCAGATGCATTACTTCAAACCCGTTGACACTCCTATTGAGAAGGGTCTAACCTTAAGTCTTGACCAGTACCCAAAGGCAGATGAAGAGAAAAAGAAAATGAGCAACGTTCCTTATACTAGTGTAATAAGCAGTTTGATGTATGTCATGTTGTGTACACAACCGACCATTTATTTTGTGGTTGGTTTGATAAGTCGTTATCAAAATAATATTGGACCTGCTCATTGGCAAACAGTCAAGAGAGTCTTACGCTACCTTCGTGGTACAAGTGACCTAGTCCTCTATTATCAAGGAGGGGACTTAAGGTTGAAAGGATATTCATATGCAGATTGGAGTGGCGACTGTGATGAGTCTAAGTCGACCTCAGGATATGTTTTTGTCCTTGGTGGAGGTGTCATATCTTAGTGTAGTAAAAAATAAGACTGCATTGTTTTATCTACAATAGAAACGGAGTATGTTGCAAGTTGTTTTGCTGTACAAGAGACAATTTGGTTGAGAAGCTTTCTACAAGATCTCAACATCACCCCTAAAGTTGATGAACTTGTAAAAATGTATTGTGATAATACTACTGCTATCTAACATGCTCGGGATCCAAAATTTCATAGAAAAACCAAGCATATTAAGAGGTGTTATCACTTCGTTCGAGGTGCCATAAAAAATGGAGAAGTTGTTATTAAGTATATATCCAATAGCAAAATGGTTGTTGATCCTTTGACTAAGCCTATATCTAGAGATGCTTTTTAGGGTCATGTGAAGAGTCTAGGTTTGTGTAGGCTTTAATTTTTGAGTGGGATTTGATACGTAATGGACATATGTTTTTGTGTATTGATCATTCATGAAATAAAAGTTGTTATTTTCTTATGAAATGTTCATGAACATAATTGCGTGATTAGACACATAATAAGGTTACCGTGTTTTATGATTGACCTTATCACATGGGTGATCTCCCTAACTCTTGAGTAGCAGGTAGGACAAGACTAAATCATATTGACGTTAAGTATGTGCAATATAGACCGTCTTTATACTTATGTTGTATTAATAACAAATATTAAAATTTTATGTGCAATATAGACTGTCTTTATACTTGTGTTGTATTAATAACAAATATTAAAATTTTATAGTTGCCTTAGTATGTCTAAGATGAGACTGTAGAGAGTCGAGTATGAAATATATCTGATTTCATACTAAAGTCCTAGAGTCGAATATCGAGTAACAGATCATACATTGAGTACGTTGATCAAGTGGCTCGAGTTAGATACTTGAGTAGTATCTGGACTTATGATTCGCACAACATAGAAGAGTGACGTGCCCAACTTAGTGAGAGCTACATTGTGACATTCATATCATACTGTATGTACTATGTGATGACCGATATAGGGAGTGACAAAATAATTCCCTACTTTGTCAATGTGTGAAACTTATGGACTCTTATGTCCTCATTGTATGATACCTTTCGACTTAGAGCTATCACATGAAGTCAAGATTTGATGTTGCTATTTTAATATGTTTCCAAGGTTCACGACCTACACGGTTTAGCCGAGCATGTTAGGAAAGAAATCAAGTTGAGATGGATAATTATGAGTGTCTAAGGAAGAATTTTTCTGACATCATCACATAAGCCCGAATAGTTATATTTTATATATAATCAAGAAATATAATTATAAAATAGAGGGGTAGTGTATGCTAATGGTGATGTTCAAATGATCTGAGGTATTATAAATATGAAAGTGTTATATTAGTTATATGGTGACTTAATATAACACTACTTGTTGCCTTTTAGTCGCACACCTCATATCTTGTATGAAACATGAGAGATATGTTGATGTGGTAATATATTGTAGTTAGTGTAGCTTGTGTGGTCGAGTGAGAGATGTTGTATAAAATTAGAAATATCCACAAAGACATGACCATTCGTAAGTCTATAAGATAGAAACTCTTCTTGTAAAAATGTATGACTCTTAGTAAGTATATAAGGGAGAAAAAATTATTTTTTCACACTTAAAAAAACAAATAACATTTAGAAAAAAATATATTACCATTCTCTCACTCACATTAAGTTAAATCATAAGCAGACTTGGGTCTTAGGGTGTGAAGATTATCTAGAACTCTAGTAGCATCTGGGATAAAATAAAAGGTATCAACAATTTTTTAAGGTTAGTCCTAATTTTCTAACATTCTCTAATCATTTTGTATTGGGAAATCTATCAGCATATCTACAAACAATAGTTCACCCTTTTGAGCTTCAAGTAATTTACCTCCAAATCTAACCAATACTTGTGGTGATCGAAGATAGTAAGGATGGTGGTTCAGCTATGAAGATTGACCAACTTTTTTTTTTAAATTTTGACAATGAAGAATTAAAACGAATTTATAATTTTTTTTT